ACGATCCCATGGGAAGTCCAAATATTTGTTCATACATGTTCCCGTTGAATGTAAAATAGGTTATCGTTATTGTCAAGTTGATTAGTCGTGCTAATGAATTCCTCCTGATCCGTTGTGATTTCAGGATATACTACTCTTGGTCCAGAAATTCCAGCAGGTTCGTTAGCCCATTTTCTCCAAAGCTATCTGTATACATGGATTCCACATCGATACTAATAAGTCTGTTTCTTCCAGTGCCATGTATTTGATTTTTTGATAAAATTCATATAAATGTTTCACCGTGTTTTATAGCCTTTCATTTAATTTCATTAATTGAGTGAAAAGGTGATACGAGGATATAGGATTGGTGAATAGTTCAGGATAGGAGAGCTACCACAATTCTTTACCAGATAGTCAAAGGATCGGTCTTATTTGTCTTTTAGTATGCCATTTATAATTCCATTGATTTCTTGACTAATTATTACCAGTTCACCCTCGTATAACACAAAAATGTCTGCTATTTCGCTACTAATCGCAGACGCGGCTACATCAAGGTTAGTAAGAAATTTCTTATCAGCTGAACCTGACAGCACTTTGCTAAGCGCATGATGAACTGGCAGGCAAATTACGTTAATGCTAAAATTGCTACGTATCACAAGTAAATCTGTAGCTCTAGTAATTTTAAGTATAATTTCAGAAACTTCGCCACAATTAGGCATATGTTTATTCTCTCCATAGTAAATACTACGATAGTCGGATTGCATGATCTCCTTTCACTTGTTTGAATGCTACACATAATGGAGATGAGATAGCTCTGCAAATTCATGTACTGCTTTAATAAAGGGCTATTTACATGGGATTAGTCTTCGGAGGGCTAAACAATATTTAATTGAAGATATAAAGACCAAAATGATGTGGCCTCTGATATGGTCGCAGTCTCCTTTAGATTTATAGAAGTAGGCTGACCTCGCTGTCGCAACTTGTTTTTTTTTGTCAGGGAGATTTATTAGGATGCACCTTGTCCGAAGTCCTCTGTCATACTAGTTATCATAATTCCCAGCATCAGATAGGCGTTTACAGTTTGCTCCGATAACATGGGTTTAATTAAGGAGAGGACCTATGAAGGGAAAATCTGTTATCTGCAAGCATTACAATCAGAACCTAGACGCTATGCTTGGTGAGGCGGCAATGTACGTGCTTTTAGGGCCTTGAGAAATAGCGCCTGCAATAAAACCCACTTTGGGGTAGGAACCGAGTGAAATCGGTCAACAAAAAGACCATGAGGGAGATCCGGATAGGAGGCTTGAGTCGGATTCTCCACAAAAATACACACATTTTGACGAGTTAAATGTAAACAAGTGATAAGTTGTGATAGGGCGGGTATGGGATAAGAGGGTAAGGACTAGATTGAAAAGCCAGAACAGAAAGAGGAGTGATAGTGCAACCGTTTCCGGCAGAAAGTTGGTCGATAAATTGACTTCACTTGTTTCTGACGAGTTCGTAGCCTAGTACAGAGAATGGTGGCACTCACTGATGATGTCGGCGAGAAGGTACCAATTCCACAGTCTGATTCTTGGAATTACGATACCTATTATGATAGAGGACTTCGGACAAGGTTTGTTCTACTTTGCCGCCCTGACAACAAGACCAAGTTGCGACGAGGTTAACCCACTTCTATCAATCGACAGAAGACTGTGACAACACCGGGGGCCACACCATCTTAATCTTCATATCTTCGAAAAAAGCTTTTTGCTTGATTTATGCTATTATATTTTACCGATATCTGTTCCGTTTATGTTTGAGATTCTCCACCATTCTTTTTTCTTATTTTCTTTGAAGTTCATCTTACTTCCTCCGTTCAGCCCCTTTTCTATCTTCTGGGCTTTCACTTTTCCCATTCTTTTTCCCTATAGTATTTTTCTTGATTTACAGGCCTTATGTCATTAATATCTTTCTTAATTTATTCCTGATTTCATTGTACAGGTTATGAAGACACGAATGGCCCTTCGACGCACAGGAGATCCTAGCTCGCTATTCCGATGTGTACGCACAATTTTTGAACAGGGTGGACTACGCAGCTTCTATCGTGGTTACGTTGTCAGTATGTCGAGTTACGTCCCCTATTCTGGCGCTGAAATGGCCCTCTACGAGGTAAACTCGACTTATTATTGACTTTATCGGGCCATCATTAGTGTTGACTACACATGCTCGTCTAAATATCCTATAATGTTTCGAATAGCTCAAATAGTTTAATGGACGGAGGAGCCTCTTATTTGTCTTTAGAACCTTGAAACTTCTAACTTGTGACAATCACCTTTGGCCTAACAAACTGAATGGTTATTTTTTATTCGCTGGTTGTTTTCTGTCTTTAATATGCTTTACATGAATACAACGTTTACTCCACAATCGTATTGATAAGCGAGGCCTCTAAGCAAAAGGAAGCAATTTTTATGTTAATCTCTGTGATTATTTGTAATGTAACGTTTCATTTTGAAGGAAAAGTAGATTAGAAGGACTTCATGGATTGGTCTCTCTAGAAAGCAAGAAAAATCCCTTTAGAGTGAAAAATATTGGATTTAGCGAATAAGTCCTCGCTTCACTATCCTATGACTTCGATGAGCTCGTTCTAAGCCTTCATGTTATGAGGTAGGCATCGTCAAAAGCGAAAAACCATGCTTCACAAAAAATCACCAAATACAACTGTACAAGAAATAATGGTGGCCAAATGAACTCACTCATTTAGTAGTAGCTTTTTGCCTGCCTAAATAGGATTGCGTATGATCCCACAATCCTTATGTATGTCTAGATATGTTTTATTGCGTATTGTGTCTGCGCAATATCAACCTCCTTCCAAATAACTTTTCCTTTGAAATGAAAATTAATGTAGCAAGGGATTCTTCGAAATCCTGCGTTTCTTCACACATAAGAATCTGATTTTAATTGTTAGACCCACTTTCGTTTGAAATGAGTGCGTGATAAAGAGACTCGAAGGTTGATCCCGTCAAAAGACAAAGTTGAATTTCTCTTAACCAACTGTCTATTCGCTCTACTACACCATTCTTTTTGAAGCTGTTACGAGGAAATCTCTTTCGATTTCAGCTATCGTATCTCATATTAAGAAATCCATCAGAGAAAGCTTTTATTTCTACTACCATATTCAAGCTGGCGAGTCAGCAAAACTCATTGACTTATCCCTACACTGTATTTATATCTTAAGCCCACGTACTTTTGTGGTATATTGGTTAATTGACTTAGTTCAAATCATATTTTAATCTAAAAGCATGTTCGTGGTATGCTTGCGTATGATTATGTTCCTTAATGTGTACCTATATATTCGAAGCCAATAGTGATGCCTCATATTAATGAGAATAAAACGTAAAATCTGTCCTTCGTCCTTGGGCTCTCCCTACTCTCTCCTTTTTTATTTTGACCATCACTCTGGTTACGTAATGTCGAAAGACATGGCTAAGTTGGCAAGCATTTTGTCTATGTGCGAAAGAGGAAGAGTTAGCTAGGATGCATAGGAGTGTGATCGAAATGAGAACCATTACGAACAAAAGATCAAGGGCTTAGTCATTCAAAGTTGCTTAAGATAATTTAAGGACTAAATGTTGACCTTTTCCACAGTTAGATAAATAAGCCTTGCGGTGCCATTAAATTCCACCTGTTCTATCTCATCCAGGATGGACTGCAGTTTCGCCATCGCCTAGGTTTCATTAGCTTCCCCAGCGACCTAGGGTCTCTAAGCTTCTAATCAATAATTATTGAACCTCTAAAACAACTTATATAGAAATTATGTAACGTCTTTAATTGGAATGGCAGACAGATGTTTGCTATATCGACAATCCCACTATAAATTTGGGTTGGAAGAGGCCTGTTTTGTTTTGATTGTCGTATCTGTCCTGCAACCCGTTGACACCTGTGGCCCGGAGTAGTAAGCTTGCTACGATACTCACGACCCGGTATCGAATCCCGCCGGAGGTGATGATGAGACCTAAGTGAGGTCCCAACTGTACTCCACCGGATGAGATAGCCTTTTGAGATACACGGCTAAGTGGGATTAAATAGCATCTTGGCACCTACTCATTTCATTGTGGGAAAACTCAATTAACATTCCTTAAATCACCTTAAGCGACCTAGGGTGACTAAGCTTTTATTCAGTAATGACTGATATTCTCGAAAACTACTTATATCGAAAATGGCAAAGCTAGTTAAGTTGATTCCTTTTTTCTAGCTTCTCAACACCCTTTATATTCTTGAGTCAATCAATTCATAATAAGTGGTTCATAATTAACTTTCACCGCTGTTCCTGACATTTAATGTATTGTCTAATTTGTGAAATTCTATGACTTCTCACATCTTGCGCTCATCTGTGGGCACACCATAATTAGCAAAACGACAGGTCTGAGACAATTTTATCTCCCAGTTTCTCCACAGGCACTTTTGAGTCAACCTTTCTTTTTCGAATAGAACGACAGAGCTCTTCATCATAAAAATGATCACACAAACACATTATTTTATGGCAGCCTGATTTGGATAGTGAGTCAAGGTTCTTTCTATAAGTGGGCAAAACTGATGAAGAGACTCGAAGTTCGGTCCCCTCAGAAGATATTAGCAGATATTTTTGGCTAAATGTATATTGGCTTTGCCGGAATCTTCTTTTTGACGTCATCCCGAAGCGATCTTCTTCGTTTTGAGTGAAAACCCAAGACTTAAGTATAGAGTTAGATGCTTAACCTCTTGATAAAAAGGAGATTGTAGGTTATTAAACCTTTATGCTTGAGGACGGCTATTAATCCATGTTTGAATTACTTAAGTTTGAATGTATCTAAGCATGCAAAGCCATAAACATGTTCTTGCTTCTATACTAGCTTATAATTTGACCTAAGTCAATTTATCGTAGCTATGAAGACCAAGATGATTCTTGGTCGACCTCTTTTTCGCAACCCGGTCG